GGGGGGGGGGAAACGGTTCCGGTTAGACTGAAAGCGTTGTGAGTGCGTGTGACTGCTCTCACGGCGTCGGGACGGCGTGCGATCCCCGTCTGGAGTCGGCCAGGGCAGACAGACTGCTTGTGTCAGCGTCTTCTGACAACAGAGTGTTGGGTTCGCTAGTCGAATGGCCACTGCTTCGGCTGCGGCTAGCACCCGTTTGCACAAGCCTTTAGCGAAGTGTGTCGGTGCCCGATAGATAACTTAAAAGGCTTCTTTAGCGTCGGCTTGGTGGTTCGCATCGATTGGATGTGCCACAATTGAACTCGAAATCGATCGATTTTCACCTCTACCTAGCCAGGCAAGCATGTGTTAGCGTATTCTCTTTTCCAGCCGCTTCGTTGTACGGCCAATATATACCGCTCCACAGTAGCAGGTGAATAAATACACATGGATGTGGCCTGTAACGGCAACCGGTCTTTGTCCCCCAACCGTTGTAGGGGTGAGTTTGCGAAGAATACGTGCAAGTTCGCCGCGGGGAAGGCACCCTCGAGAGCTGTCCTAGGACGTCGTCTCATTAATTCATTTGCCTAGAAATACACTTGATCAGTCTCAGTTAATGCCATCAATTTGCCGCGACACAGGTTACTATTTCTTTGCAAGCTACAAACCGCAGCTTGGTACCGCCCTCGATAACGCCTACCGAAAACTTGGAATAAATTATCGCAGTTGCTCGCTCTCCTTTTTGTCAGTGCAAGTGAATAACACGCTAGTTTTGACTAAACTACTTGTTCATATTGGCAAAGTAGAGAGATCCGGGTTGATTATTTGAAAGAAAAAATTGGCTCACCGGGACGCGTTAAATAAGCGGGTTAAATAAAACCTTTCCGGTGAGTTCATATTCTCCTACAAATAAATTACCTGTTCTCTTGGGTGGAGTGCATGATAAACAGACTTTGAATGCTAACCCTCTGACGTATCCACAACATTGTCGTTCTGAATGTGTTATTTGTAGAAACCTCTCGGTTACCGTTATAGATTTGAGACTAAACCTGTTTGTGAATGGCTGAAAACAACTACGAGATCAGTGTAGGCATGCTGAGTCAGTCCGCATAGTCTGTAGGGTTAATTTTAGCTCAATGTTCACAACGGCTTTCCAGTGGTAACTTTTTGCAAAGATGACATGCCTTAACTCGAGCAGCCTGAATTTCCGAAAAGATAGAGAATGTTGCCCGACGGCAAATTGACAGCAGCCTACTTATTTGCTATCTTCGTAAATGGAAATCTTATGGTAAAAGTGATTTTCTATTCGTATTCCCAGGATCCGCAGCATTCCATAAAGTATCAAAATTATCCAAACTGAAAGCAAAATTAACTAGCAACAGAAGAAAGTTTGAAGAGGATATTAGATTAGGTTCACTCATGCCCATCTGAAGGAAGTGCGCCCCAGTAGCAATCTGTGATGAAAGAAATAATCAAATAACGAGTAACTGGCTAAGGATTTATTGATTTTCCAGAGGGGACAAAAATCACGAATGCGCTCGCTACCGATGCTCGTCAAACAGGATCCACCCTATGCACTAGTAACAGAATCAAAGTGAGGTTCTGCCAAAATTCCAGCATTATGGTAGAGGGGCGCTCACCGATCGTTCTTATGGAGCTCAGTCGTCCCGGTGTAACTAAGGGCTCTCTCTCCCTCTCTCGATCAAAACCAGCAGCCGCACAGCGACGTATGATATAGGCAGAATGATAGTATCGAAAAAGACAAGGAAGACTGAAATGGCCATTTCTGGTTCATTAGCTGTCGTCAGCCAATCATACTCAACCCCCGAGGTATGGAACATCTGGGACTCGAACTCGTGACCTGTTAGTTAGAAATCTATGCCTCTAACCACTAGGCCACGAGCTCGTTGTCCTGTCGGTTTTGATCGGGAATATAAAATGGCAGAGGGACGCTTACCGATCGTTTCTACGAAACTCACTCGTTCCGTTTATGCCTTAAGGGCTCTCTCTCAAGCTCAACCAGCAACCACACAGTGACGCATGATATAGGCAGAATGGTAGTATCGACAAAGACAAGGGAGACTGAAATGGCCATTTCTGGTTTATTAACTGTCATTAGTCAGTCATACTCGACCTCAAATTTTGGAACATCTGCGTCTTGATGTCCAGCGCCTCTAACTGGTGAGGCTCTGAAGCACAACGAGACCAGCGAGTTACGTTAAACGATCGGTGAGCGCCCCTCTACTATTATATATTCCCGATCGCAACCGACAGTACATCCGGTCCGTGGCCCAGTGGTTAGAGGCGTTGGACTTTGAATTAACAGGTCGCATGTTCGAGTCCCAGGTGTTCCATACCTCGGGGTTAGGTATGACTGGCTGACGACAGCTAATAAGCCAGAAATGGCCATTCCAGTCTCCCTTGCCTTTCTCGGTAATGCTATTACGCCAACATTAACCAGCATTGGCAGGGGTCGGCTGTGGCAGAAGGACAAAAGTAGTTCCGAAACAGTTGCATTCTAAGTTCCCGCTTCCATTTGATACGCCTCTGCTGGTGTTGTCATGGTCTGCAAACAGTTTGGTTTTTGATCGACCATTCGTGTTTGGACTAAATGCACAACTCTTTAGCAAGCCTGACTTGAGATATTAGATGTGTCCTCCAGACTCAGTTGAGAATTGGCGCTCCATGTTTTCTCTTGGTTGGAGACACATGTAGCAACTGCACACTATCTGCTGCTGCTCAGATTGATCGTGTCAGTCACCAAACTTGCCTCGCCACGTGCTGATATGAATGGATTTCTGGTACGCACACGAATAAGTTGCGCATCTCAAGGCCACCGCCAACGAAAGTGAGGTTAACTGCAATGATGCTTGCCTTGGCGATAAATGCGAATAGGCGAGTTCCAGGAGGCAGTTAAGAAGACGAAACTGCGATCAAAAAACAAGAAATTTATTGGCCTGTCGTTTCGGATTCTCACTCGAGCCCATCATCAAAGACAGTCGCGGACTAAATTTCGTGTAAAATGTTACATAGGACCAAACACTTTTTTGGGAATGGTTGAACCAGCTCCAACTTACTGCTGTTATGGTAAATTCTTACGTTAAAATATAGTACCAGTTGCCCGTCGGCTGTTCATGAATGTTACGCGCCCATTCCTCTGTGGAATTCGGCCCAAATATGCATACATTAAATTCTCGATCTGAGCCCCTAGGCCCCGGTATAAACTGATGCACCCCAAGTTACCAGTTAGTTTCGAAGGAAATTTAAAAAGCATCAATTTCTAAACTAGAGCATCTACCAGAAAGCAGACGAGGAGTGTTGGAGACCAACAGAAGAGCCGCACCCCTCTCAGCTGAGCTATGCAGTGGCTGAATATTGGCGAAACACACGTGTCTGGGCTTTTATCTAATACCTGTGTTGCCAGTATGGTAATCAATTACTCAACGACGTTTGCGTTTAGCCTTTGACTCCATCGGAAATACCTTAAAGTCAAAATCGTAGCGAAGATGAAAAAAGTCGATTTTTATAAAAAAAATTGAAACGAAATCTGTCTGCAAATGCTCAATAGTAGGTTGATGATAGGCAGTTCCGAGGTAATAATGATCAAGCCAAGCGATTCGGTAATGGTCTCCTTGGGATCATGATGGGTTGAGATTCTGCCGACGATTGTTGAGCTAGGCATAGGCGGGGCGGAAGAGGTCGCGGTGGGGTGTGTGTGTTCTGTTAAGTGGGAAAGAATACATTTATATATATATATATATATATAAAGTTAGAAATAGCGAAGCAACCGGATGTCCGGATAAAAGCAGATAATACTTTTATAATATTAAATGACAAAGAGATACAACTTGTTGCCTTGAAAGTGTCGGACGTGTCTATATAGATACTTATAGAGTTATCGCATAGATCAAAATCATTAATTATTGTTTCAAGCAAAAAATGCAATCTAAGGGGGACTGCGGTAGCAAAAAGCACGACATACATTCAAGTCAGTTAACAGACCACGCAATGGTTTCAGTTGAAAATTGCGTTCACCACCTATATTTATCTAGTTCACCAAATACGCTCATTGAAAACTGGCATGTTCACATCACGATATCCGTGCTTTTGAGGTCAGGCAGTAGCGCATCCACCGGGTTGACGTTCAGGGCACTGTTGCTTATGTGAAGAAAACGTTAGGCTCACCGGATCTCTCAACTTTGCCAATCTGAACTCTCGCTTGTGCCGGCGTTCGAACGAAATTCTTCCCAGCTGCATGCAAACATTATACTCCGTAAAACATAATTACTTAAGTAGCATGCATTTTTTCCAATGATTCTCGATGTCCTTAACCATTCAATTATATTTTATGGAAGACATAAGTAAAATATTCATTCTCTTACTCCTTTAATAGAGAATTACGTTTTCTTCCAATTTTCTTCTCTAAGAAAGGGCATAATTCGGGTTTAAGCAAGTTACTAATTTTGAGACTTTTCAATACCGTGGAATACCCATTCATAAAACGTCATGTCTCTGCACGTTACAATGTGGCTTGTAAAGTTAGCAATATGGCTCAAATCCACTGCTAAATTTTATGAACCCCATATTCTTTCCTCATTATACCATAGAGAAATGTATGGTTTTCCGTACGCGAAAGATATGCGGCCTGTGGTTTCGAAACCCTGAATGCAAGTGTAACGGCATGCCGAGTTCAAAATTATTCGGGAGATGGAAAAGTTTATTAAACCGAACTATACTCTTTCTTCGAGCATAAAATTAGAAGAAGACATAATTTTCTACCAAGTGGGCAAAAAACCGAATATTTATATTTATGTTTACCATGAAATATAATTGAATTTATAAGGGCAGAAAAAAATCAATTCGCGAAATTCATGCTACTTAAGTAGTCATGTCATGCGGAGGATGGTTTTTGCATACATCTGAAAAGGATTTCGTTTGAATGCCGGCATCCTGGGGTAACTGAATTATTACATATTTATGTCTTACGATGATTAATTTCATAACCGAACTTAATTGGCCTTTTCGAAATGAAAACGCATTTCGGAATTTCGGTCGACGTTTCATGAGTTAGCTCGCCTACTGTATATATGAATAATGAAAAAGAAGGCTGATCGAGCATCGAAAAAAATTGTTTATTTTACTGGAATTTTGAATTCTTGCAGACACGAATGTTTGTCGGAAGGCAACAAACATCAGGCACTTTCTCAATTTCCCCGGCAACCATCCGGTGACTCCCAAATGAAACTGCATAAGAATGATCTTCAAACGGACTCACAGTCAAAGCAGCAAACTGAGAGGCACGAGATCTACAAGATTAATTTATGCGGAGTGGTCATCTCAGGGCGTTTATATGCCCATGTGTACGTGCTCGCCTATGCATGACGCCAGGGTAAGCATCACGGGTGATATGGCATGCTCTGCGATACATTAAAGATGTTCCAAAATCGACCGAGCGCATCGCTTCTGCGCTAGGTGTCGGAATTACACACCGACTCAGAACTCTCATGCGCAGAAGGGTCGTATAAATCAAGGGCTGAGCAAGGGCTGAAGGGCGGCCTGAGGTTGTGTATCTCATTCTGTGTCTAAACTGGACTTGCAACTACACAGGTCGGACTTAACGCGTGTTGGAATTGCGCATACTCGAACCTACGCCGGCTGTACAACAGGACCACGAGTTTAACTTTGCAGCCACCAAGATAACCGCTCACGCAGGCAGCAAGATGAGCCGAGAACCGGCTGAAACCTGGGCGTCGAATAAGAATTCTGTCAATCGATGCCTCGATTTGGCGCTGACATACAGATCCCTGCGCAGTCACCTGCAGACCTGCGTCGGTAATCGCTGATTGGTTGGTGCTCCCTGTATGTGTCGTTGGTTCAGTTGCTGCTACCATATGTGACGATGTACTTCTGTAGGAAATTCAAAGTTCAGGATGATTGTTCAAGAGCCTCCTTTTTCTTTACTCAAATAGCGATCTTGTAACTTCAACTAACTGACCTAAATCGGTTTTAATAAGCATTAGTTTTTAATCGCTTTCCGGTGCCCATTTCTGGTTACAACGCGTTACAAGGCGTGTAAAACTGCTCTCATGGAACAGGTGTAGCGGGTAAATGAAGGACATAATCTTTGTAAAAATGCAAAGATCGGTTTTCACATTACAAGTAGCGTTATGAATGACATTTAAATATGAAATTCAAACAAAACAAAGCATTATTAAAAGGGATAAAAAGTTAAATGTGCCGCCAAATTCTTAAAAGAGAACAAGGCGACAGCATTCGATAGTATTGGTGGGAGGGACTGACTGCCCCGACATTGTACTAAATAAAATTTGACTTTTAAATGCATTTTCCCCAACTACTCTAACATTTCGCTTGGTTATGATGCTCGACCGATCGATTGGTCCTCTAAGCGCTGCCTTTTAGATCGGTGGGACAAACTGATCGGCGAGATGTTAAATCAAAAACCGATAAGTTTAGTAGCCATGTGAATACACCGAATTTCTTCCCGTTGAAGCTGCTCGCGTCAGGTAAAGGCCGCAAGCATCTGTGGCATACAAAGAGTACCTTCTATTCTCATTTAAGTGGGTTTTAGTTAGACACGATTATTTCGGTTTTGTATTTTATCGGACAAGGTTTGGTCGACTGTTGTAGACGGTCTGGTACAGTATCTACAATGACCTCAACTCAGAAAGTTGAGAAGCGATGGCTGCAGACACCTAATGTTTATTTTTTTAATTCTCCTGCATTAGTACGGTTGCTACATATCAATGCATCAAAATGTTCCCGCCTGAAATACTAATTAACCAATTATCTTTACTTATTTTGCCATTTCTCCATGCATACATAAATCCCGCCCGCAAAACCCCTCTTACCACATTTCCCGTAGCACAGGCATTCTTGGCTGGTCGTGTTTGTGTGCGTGTGTGTGTGTGTGTGTGTGTTTGGGGCCCTTCACCCGATCATTGCCCCGCAAATCCATCAACAAGCGCAATGACCTCCCTTTACCATATTCTGTGATGAGATTTTCCCTGGGCAGGGGGATCGGTCACGTGGGTAGGACACAGGCGAGAAATTAACTCAGTGATATTGAGGCAATTTGCCGAGCAATCGTCACACCATCATCCAGCACGGATGACGAAATCGCGGCCGTTAACGACCCAGACGAGGACTGACAAGCCACCATCGCACCAATTACGACCCCAGAGCTGATTGCGAGAGCTGTTAATTACACTGCGCATATGGTTCCACGGCAGCCACGTGCCAGAAATACTGCACTCCTTGTGCCACCATTATTCTTATCTGCGAATGTCCCTGATGATGGGTTCGAGCGAGAATCCGAAACGTCAGGCCAGGAAATTTCTTGTTCCAATGATCGCATCTTGGTCTTCCGAACTGCTTCCCGGAACTCGCCTGTTTGCGTCTATCAGTCGTTGATTTTGAACAACGTACGATCTTGCGCTATCCTGTTGGGAGTGCCTACACTCCCAAAAACAAGAGCCGGGCAATCAGAGGAGGCCACGTGCGTTTTCTCTACAGCGCTGTCATCCTAGTCGTGGCGCCTTTCCATTGGCTTTTCTTTCGGGCCTGATCGATCTGCGTATTCAAATTATCGACCAGCTCATCTGGAATATTCTTCCCGAAGGGCATTGGACCGAATGCTGGCGAATCACAGTAGGGCATAATAAATATGCGTTTATTCCAGTTAATCGTGCCTTGCAATTTCCTAATACATATTTTCGTGGCCGGTTGCTTCTTCTCTGATGCGTTGGTATTGGGGACAAGAGTCGGGTACGCATATGCTCCCACGTGCTTTCAAGTACCAGGCCGGGTCATAACACATCCCCTAAGATGTAATCGGCAGCCAGCCTAGAGGATTTTCGTCCATAAAAGTAAAGGCAAAACAGATGTGCGAAGGTCTCAGATCTTACCAAATTCAGTGTTGGTAGGGGCCGTTTGTGAATTTGGGGTTCGAGGGTGCAGGGTCTCGGAGGCAGCGGCGGAGGGGTAGATGACGCTGATTTTACCTGCAAAATAAAAGCATGATTCTAAGCAGATGTAACGAGAACGACCGGTATCATCTTAGAATGTTTTTCAAAGACTCGAGCTGGCTAACATGTGGGGATTGGGATTTTAATGACTAAATCTCGTAAAAAACTTTACATAGAAACAAACAATGATTTTGGTAATGGTGAAACCAGCTCTAACTTACTGACTTTCGACAGTCCATTATACATCAATCCAGGGTTGGATAACGTACGCATTGTCTACGGCTTGGTTTGCCTTACAATTGAAGACAATACCGGTGAACCAAAGGGTTTTCCTTTCACACTCACGATCAGGGCCTCAAATGAAACCAAAACAGTACGTTTTGCCCGCCCCGGTAGTCAATCGCTTTACGAGAAGTAGACCATTTTGTGAAATTCGACCGAAGTACCCAAAGGAGGTTGGAACATCTAGTTGTCATTAGTTTGATTTCGCCAATTTTAAGTTCGAAATACTTGAGATTCGGAACTACCAAGTTGTGATTTGATCGATCATGCATTTCAGGTCTTAAATGGTTTATAGCACTCTATGATCGACTAAACAGGATAACGAAGATAGACGTGACTAACTTAGATGTTAATATTTAGCAACAGCAGTCTTTCAATTGTTAAGCATACTCCAATTCGTTAACTTCAGTGGGCCTTAGCTTCAGTAGTAAATGTTGGGAGGTTGCCCACGACTACCGCAGTTTAAGGTTAACGCTGGGTAAACGAGACTTCTTGAGTGTAAGTTACTTCGAACTGTTTTGAACAACGTTGCCAGTAACAGCCTCCTTACTGTGCAGATTCCCAAAGGTTAGCACAAAAAGCCAAGCCGTTGCTGGCATATACATATTCGAATCATTTAAAAAAATATTCTTAGTTTAGCCTTTCTCCGTTCCTACACTGCCTGTTCATATTGATCTATTGGACTTTCAAAATAAACTGTAAATATCCTGAATGTATTGTCCAGACTTTTCAAACTTTTCGAAAATGTGTTGAAGGATTAGTGACCAGTACTATATACAACATTATTTAAGGGGTGTGATAGCAGTGGACTTCGATGTGACAAAATAAGCGGTTACATTGGAACTGAAATCTCTCACTCCGCAAAATGCCTGACCTCGAAAGTATATCTGATTGAATGGAAATCAGGACAGAATTGACTTGCTTAAAACGAGAAATTCAGTTTACGTTGGTTTGGCATAAAATGAAAACAGAAGGACAGTTACAATAAGAAACACTTACAGACGTCAAGAACGTTTCAGAGAGGGTAGGATTTTCAGATTTTGAGTCATCGTTCTTTTGTGTTTCCGACAAGTCAGTCACAGATTGATTTGAAGAGTCATGCCATGAATCGGACTAAACATATAAGAGTATAAGTGTTAGTTTCCAGTGGAATTAAGAAGCCAAACAACTTGTTACAGATTCACAAAGTCGTAGTTTGGTTTTAAATAAACGCTGGATTAACTTCCACTTAAATGTGATCAGCCTAACATAAGATGTGTCTCTTCTGGATTTATTTCGCCAGCGTTCAAGAGTAGGCTATAAGCATTAGTCGACTTTTGTTGCAACCGAGTTGAAATCTCGGCCAACATCAAGAAGTCTTGTCTTTAACTTAGCTTTTCGGCCGAACTTCAAAACGCGTACTTAGATATTTCATGAAGGATTCCATATTATAAAGGTAATAGGGCAGATAAGACAGAAAGTTACCTGTAATGGCGAACCATTAAAAATTTGTGGTGAAGAACGGTAATCCTCATCGAAGGCATAAGGCACATCAAGGTCTGACATCAAACTTTCAGAGTCAAATGTTGAAATATCTAGTGAGGGCAGGAGGTCATATTCTTCTTGGGTAATTGTATTGTTGACGAAGCTATGATCCCACGTACTTTCCATTGTTTGAGGGGTCTAAATGAACATCATTAGAATTGTGTTAAATAACTTTAAGGTGGAATTGCGAGAGGTCAAATAAGTTAGTTTAATCGTTACTTTAGTTTCAAAACTAGTGAGCGACATTTTGAATGAATTATAAGCGTTTCAAAAACTTACCGTATGATACATTTGCATCGTAGAGGGGCAATGTTTGTGACGTCAACGATTTGCTATTATCTAAATCAAACAGGGTAAATTCCTTAGATGTATTTTCTGCACTAGTTTGTACCCATAGTTAAAAACAGCTTAAAAAACATAACCGTTTGGTGAATTAAATCTTGGAAGAAATGGCAAATTTAAGAGCAGATTTCAGTTAGTCAGCAAAAAAAATAAATTAATATCATTAAAGACAAAATTCCAAGAACATCCACGATAATTTGAACATATTTACAAGGCATTTGTATGTCAGCACACTTGCATATCAGTAGTTGTACAACAAAGGCGCTACTAAACTTTCGCAAAGCGCTTAGGGTTTTTGGAAGAGGCGTTCATTACCATCTTCTTCAGAACACTCGCTCGTAGATATTGATGCGTCCACATCAATGTGGGAATTCTGTCTTCGAATTCGTCCTACTTGACCCAGTTCACCCATAAAAGACATTCTAAGATTATAAAGCTGCCGATTATGCCATTCGAAAATACTTGCGCCTGATACAGACTTCAATTCGGGTTTAGGAACACGGATTATTTAGGCAATCACTGCAAACATAAGGACTATTAGCAGCGACACCTGCGTTCATTTCGGACGAATTCGTCAGTTGAACTGTCAACTGAGGGACGGTGTCCCGCCTCAACTTCGATGTGACGTAATTGTCAAATTAGTTATCGACGACCTGCTCTCAGTAGAATTCTTCAGTCGCTTCAAATTTAAGTAATTGCGGTCAAAGTATGCCGTCTGGTGCACAAGTAATTTGCAAGCTGCTAGTCAATGAGTGAATAGAAATTTGGTGCAGCATACTGAGTGTCGATGTGGTTGGACGCATTTTCAGTTTTTACTTGAGAGCGACTGTGAAAACATTGTTGACTGCAACTGCGCCAGGTGCATCTGTGCGCATGTTTGTGTTTCCGGTACCAGCTGGCGGTCAGGGTTATGATTGGCTGAATGAAGGCGAACAAGCCCGAAACAGTGATGTATCAATCTACCCGCATTCTCTGTCCTCCCGCCTCGCTGATATATATATATATATATAGGCAGAATGTTATTGCCGACAACGACAAGGGAGACTGGAATGGCCATTTCTGGCTTATTAGCCGTCGTCAGCCAGCCATACCCAAGCCCGTAGTGTGGAACACCCGAGCCTCGAACTCGCGACCTGTTGGTTTAGAAGTCCACGCCTCTACCCACCGGGCCACGAGCCCGTTGCCTTGTCGGTTTTCGATCGGGAATATACAATGTTAGGGGGCGCTCACCGATCGTTCATACGGAACTCACTTGTTCCGTTGTGCCTTATGGACTCTCTCTCGAGCCCAACCAGCAGCCGCACAGCGGCGCATGATATATAGGCAGAATGGTATTGCCGCTGTGCGGCTGCTGGTTGGGCTCCAGATAGAGTCCATAAGGCACAACGGAACAAGTGAGTTCCGTATGAACGATCGGTGAGCGCCCCCTAACATTATATATATATATATATATATATATATATCTGATTAGTGCGATTTGGAAGTAGGTTTATTAAACTAATTGCAAATCTAATCACTCAGGGAGTGTTTAAAATGCAGATAAAATCTTAGCATGTTGTTCTTTATCCATCGGTGAATGCAATTAGAAAGCGCAAGTATTGGAATTTATCAGTGCACAATTTTCATGCGGTTTGTACGTGACAGGAAAGCTTATTATGCGCTGATGAGGGATCCTCCGTTCCCTCTACGTCGTCGGTTGTATACCAAACACCGGAATTATAAATGCCTGAACTAATCCGAGAGGTTAATACGGGTAGACATCTTACTGCGCTATTTACTAAAAAGTTAAAAACCCGAAGACCTAAGTAAGAGCGCGGTCGCTGGCAAGTGCTTTCGGTGGACTTTCGGAATTCTGCTCTGGGTTCGAAATGCCATGATCCAAAATAAAGACGTTGTTTCGGATGATGCGGACCTACAACCCAGATGTACACAAAAACCTACTGACACCATTGAAAACGGATGCTGTCAGTACATTAGAGAGAAGTGCCATTACTGCCAAAGTCAGGCCCCCTTTGTCCAAATTTTTCCATGTGCACAGGGTAAAACCCTGTCAGCATCGGCTCCATATAACCCCCTTGCCCCGTCGGATTATAGTCGGAATAGAGAATCCGCCTACGAGTCCTTCTCGTGGTTGGCGCCAGTGATGGCAATAGACTAAGTATAAGCCAGTGGTTTAAATCACTAGCTTATCATGGTTTTCTGTTTCAGTCGCAAATATGAGCTGTAGCGCAAGCCCATCACAGAAGCTGGGACCTTAATAAAACGCCCATCGGCATACAAACGAAACAGATTTTAATAAATTAAAGCGCTGAATATTAAAAAAATATAAGTTAAGTAAATTACTTTCATCAATAAAAGTAAAGGCAGATTAAAAGGCAATAATGTAAAATCGCCTAAACATGAAAACATCTAACCAATTGTTTAGCTGAGATATCGCTTAAGAGATATCAATTTCAACTGATAAATATTTTCGTTAGCTGTTGGAAGTTAAAACATCCATACAAGCATGTCGTAAAAGTATAAAAGAAAGGGCGCTACTCATAATAAACTTTAATATTTTTATTTTGTTTTTTTATGTGCCAACTATTCTTAAAACAGGAGTAAATTAAATCCTGCTTTAAGAATAGTCGGCAAACAAACAGACCTAATAAGAATATTTAAAGTTGCCATGAGTAGCGCGCTTTCTTTAATATTTGACGACATGTTTTTATGGATATTTTAAAATTTCCAAAAATTCCTAAGAATCATCGTAGATTTGTTATGCATTTTTGTGTCACTTGAAGTAACTGAAAAAGGGGCGTGGTGTTAACTATGTCAACGCTGCTGTTACCTTTACTGGAAGACTGCTGTGTCTGAAGGCGTTAATGTCAATTGACGGTAGCACAGGACGTCAAATCTTCAGTTCACAAAATAATTAATAATTCTCAAGGTCGCCAATAAATACCATTAGGCAATAAAAACAAGCTCTTAGATCGCAAGGTAGATCAATAGACCTACAGAATACCGAGTAAACCCCTATCTTTCAGCGGATATTGAAACATAGGTCAACATTTGGTGCTCATAAGTCCCGTGAAAGGAGAGACAAACTAAAAAGTTGGAACAGCTGTTGCAACAACCTCACAGCGTTCGTCTTGTTGATGATGCAGGTTGTGGTCCTTAGTTTAGAGCTTGTCCAACCATAGTCCAAATCCAAAGACGATCTTTCGACAGATTAACTAGCATTTAACATAAGAGATCGCTGAGCGTAGCTTTACATGAATGTATTAACGAGAGAGTCGAGTGTCACCATCATACGTGTGTCCGAATAACTTAGAAAGTGCTGACAAAGTTCTGCAACAATGGCTGTATAGAAACCCCAAGTTAAGCACTATACTACTCAGCAGGCTTGTTGGATGTTCATGTCAATGAGATTCTTTTTGTAGAATAATGGTTACCATAGGTTTAATACCCTAAAGTTTCAAATGCACACAAGCTTCCATCCTCGGAGGGGGTTTTGTACTGAAACGAGTAATCGAAATCGAGTCAGAGAACTAAGATCTAGACGAGACGGGGAGTTGAGACACAAATACCAAAAATTGAGTCCAACAACGCAAGATCCCAGCGACCAGCGAGACACTGGTCCACAATTTGTTTTCCAAGGAACTGACGCCAGTGCAGCTTCAAGTGCTACAACGTGCAACATGCTTCAATACCGCGGACGCCGATCCGTTTAACCTCTTGGCTAGCATCGAGTCGGTCCTAAAGCACATCCAGGAGCCGGACGATGCAAAACATCTCATCCGATAGCAAGTCAAATCCTTACTGTTAATGCACAAACCGCGAGTAGCAATTCCGTAAGCGGAGCAAGACGCCCTCGAGAGACTGAAGGCTGACAGAAGCATGGTAATATTGCCAGCCGAAAAGGGAAGTTCCACAGTAGTGCTCGACAAGTCAGATTACCTTCTGAAAACCAACGCCCCGCTCGATGATCGTTTTGCGTACCGCAGGAGCGACGGAGATCTGATGAAGAAGCTGGTGGCACAAATCAACACGACGCTCGCTAGGTTACAGGGCAACGGGGTCATCTCAAAAGCAGAACGATTGGCCATTAAACCAACAGATTTGGCTTTGGCGAGATCCTATGGGCTGCCGAAAGTGCACAAACCTGGTGCTCCACTTCGACCTATCGTATCTTTGCGCTGAACGTCTACATTTAACCTGGCCAAATGGCTGTTCCGACGTCTGAACTGTCTTATATCAGGCTCCGATACAACGGTCCTCTCAGCCGTACATTTCTTGGAAAGACTCCAGGGAATAGACCTTAATGCACACTAAGTCATTGTATTATTTGATGTTACCTCTCTCTTCACTTCAATTCCTCAGAGTCTGGAAATTGAAACTGTCGGCGATCTACTTGCGAGTCGATATGACGACGAGACCAATAGGCTTAAACAAGGGCACCTTATCCAGAAGCTCAATTTCTGCCTCAATACCTACTTCACCTTTGAAGAAACGGTCTATGAACAAATCAAAGGTTCCTCAAAAGTTAGAGGTGCTGGTGTTCGCATCCCACAGACCAATACTTTGGGCACGGTATGTGGACGATATCTTCGTCATCCTCAAGCGAGAGATGGTGTCCGAATTTTACACGATCCTGAACTCTGTTTTTCCGGACACCCAGTTCACAAGGGAGACAGAAGTCAACAACCGACTAGCGTTCCTAGACGTCCTGGTCCACCGCAAAACCAACGGGAGCCTAAGAACGACAGTATACCGAAAGGCCACCAAAACACGTCAGGTCTTCAGGTACTATAGTAACCACCCGTTGTGCCATAAAAATAGCTGTGTGCGGACTCTTAACAAGAGGGCGGAAACTCATTGCACTGAGGCAGCAGACAAAATAGCCGAACTTCATTATCTTCGGCAGATGTTCATCTCCAAAGGTTATCCTCGTAGTTTCATCGAACGCAGCAGGCAACCAAAAAGGCTATAAGGCCAACGAAAGTAGAACCAAAAGTGTGGCGGGCGCTACCGTATATCGAGAATGTATCCATAGCGGTCGCTCGTCTCTTACAACCACTGGGGATCGGCGTCGCGCACAGACCTGAAGCGACAATAAGACGTCTCGTAATGAGACCCAAGGCCACTCTGTCACGAGGCGAAACAGCGAATGTCGTCAACCGTGTCCAGTGCAGTTCCTATGAAGCGAACTACGTTGGAGAGACCGGAAAGCGACTACAAACCCGCATGAGTGAGCACGCAAGGACAGTGAGAAGGATGGATCAACTCTCACTGGTGGCGGAACATTGTGCTGCTTGTGGACACACTTTCGCCTTCCAGAACGCCGAAATCCTAGGCCTAGGTACCGACCAGACAGCCAGGGAAACGCTCGAAGCCTGGCACACCATACCAACTTCCATCAACCGCTGCACGATTCTCCCGGCGACTTACTAGGCCCTACGAATGCGGTTCAATCAACGGAATCAAAGGCAGGAAATCAGGGCCATGAGCCCAAATGAACACAGTTCGCGCCCAAACACCGATGACGGGGGTCAACAGGCCGATAAAGGAGACACAGGCAACGGGCCAGCAACCACCGTGGTGCACACGGGCAGATGCAAACTGTGGACAATTACGAGAAACGCCGGTCAGGCGCAACAAATGCGGGCAATGCAGACGAGGTCAATGACCGTTGCCATCCCGACACAGCCCACCCGACGAGGAGACGGAGGAAGGGACCAACCAGCACGACAGCAATGAACTTCGTCCCCCGCAGCAGGTCCTGCACGATTAGCAGTAGGAACGACAACACTCCCGCATGCTCAGCACCCATAAATACTGTGAGGCGCCGTACAGAACCCACCTCCGACGATGGAAGCTTGTGTGCTTTTGAAACTTTAGGCTATTAAACCTATGGTTCCCGAGATCGCCTCTTCTTCTCATTTATTTCCGAAGACGCGCATTTTCGTTTTAATTGGCAATAATGGTTACCTGCATGGAAACTACGCAACAGCCTCCAAGACAAGACAGGAACGTGATCAAAACAGGTCAGGCCTACTTAGAGTAAAACAATAGGAATTTAAAAATGAGAGTCTGTTAGCGGTCTGTTAGGCGCCAAAATGTGGTATTTTGATTTATTTTCTGCAAGTGACAAGGCTCAATCAGATGGATAAATAATATCCGAGAGATCGTTCGTCTTTTATTTTTAGAGTAAGAAATTATTACTACTGAAAGCTGTGCAGTGCAAATGGAGTGCGTGTGTTCCTTTTCAGGGCTCACTCTACAAAACCAATTATATAAGTAAAATAGTTCTTGATACGAAGAAGAAGAAGAAGAAGAAGAAGAAGAAGAAGAAGAAGCAATCTTTGGAACGAGGACTTTATTCGCCTGACGTTTCGGATTCTCACTTAAACCAACCATCAGAGAAAGGGACAAGAACTTGCTCTTCGTTTTTAATAACTGATTTTTGTTAAGACCGCCTGTCTAAGGCACACTCACGCTATCTGACAATCCTGTAGATGGGAATGAGTCCACCGTCCCAGTACCTATATTTGATTAGAGTCAGATTAAGTCCAGTCTGGCTTCGCAAGAGATTTTTGGCCAACTTCGTCATTCTCACCTGCATTCGTTCCAATTGTTGATAATCCCTCTGGAACCATCAACACTAGGCCTGGACTTCACACGCAAAGTATGAGCGAACGAATGCGTCGTATCGTTCTCCGAACAGTCCCTTGATAATAAACAATAATCGTGGTCCCGGCGCAAATAACACCTATGACACGCATCAACTTGTCCGGAAAGACTGTGTTGATTATTTAAGCGAAAGTTCTTTGGAACACCGATGTCGTTCCGTTCCTGAATAATTAAGGGAGCTACCCTTCAGGAACGTAGCGGAAGGAATCGTTCTCCTCATTAATCCTTCTCTTCTAGAAAATCAGACCCACATATATATCGACTTTAGAAACCTCTTTGTCAACCTTCTGGTTACTTACCCACCTGTTGTCCAAAAATTATCTTATACAATGGATAAGGTAGTATGTCCTGCTGACGGTTTAGCTAAACTCCTTTTAATAGGCATGAAAATTTATCGCAAAACGCTGTTGATCAAGTATGCTGTTTCTTAGCTTAAATGTGCCTCAAATGCAAAGAACGGACAAAAAGTGGACAGTTATTTTCAGTGCAATTCCATCTTTATTCGTTCCTTTCTGATTGTTCATTTTATCAGTTTATTTGTTAAAGATGACAGCCAAGGCCTTTAAAAACCCTACTGATTACATGCCAGTACGTGATATACAATTGTACGCCCGTAATAAAAATAGTTACTACTACAATAGCATTCACATTGTTTTAGAAGACAAACTCTCTGCTGTCCATGGGGTGTATAGCGGAGGTTGAGACTGTTGAGGAAAAACAAATGGCACAAATAGTTTGTTTGTGTGCAGTCCAGAGCAGCACATTTCAGTGAAGAAATTGAGGGGCTCGCAGCATCACAACGGGCATCATTAAAACACTCGTTGCTCGGTAAAAGGTCCACTTCCCTTCCTTGTCTATATAAACGACTGCACAGAAAGTCGTGACTACTATATCGCCAGGTTTGCAAATGCTATAAAAATCTGACGGCGCGCAGAGATAGCAAGAAAGTATTGGCAAACGGGCTGTCTGGTGCTCCGTATTGCGTTTGAAGGCGGCTCGAAGACCTTTCCCAAGACATCAGTACTGCATAAATGGGATTAAAATGAAAGACGTGGATATGGGCATCTACATAACCCCGAACTTGCTGCCTTCGAACACTCTAAAAGTGTGAATCAAAAGGTAAGAGACGTCATACACTGGGTTAGGTGTGTTTACGTGGTCTTTCCTCCCAAAATGTTTGGCACAATTCTGTGCAACAACCGGTAACAAAACCGGTTAGCGGTCCTAGGTTTCTGTGTTATCCTGAAAGACTGAACGAGCTGAATTTATTTCTCTTATTTTGTAGGAAATTTGAGATGCAATCTACTCTGAGCATTCTGCATTGTCCGCGGACATCATTGTTCGCTCAGCTCGAAGGATTTCTTAGAGTTTGCAAGCATGATCTAGCCACTCGGCCATTTTTAAAAGGTCATACGTCTGACCGCCGTTAGTTCTCTATTAACCAACGGAACTCACTCCTAAGGCGTAATTGCGACTTCTTATACCATGAGCGTGTTCAAATGGAAACTGGGCTGTTTGGTATGTGATAAACAACCCTTTATTGAGTAACTGGTGCGCAACGCATCAAAAAACTGCGCCATTTATCACATCGAACGATGAATTAGCGGACGCAAACATACCGACTAGTGCTGCGTTTCAAGTGCACTCTGTGAAAATTATTCTCTTTATTTGCTAAACCAACTCGATATATGCAATTAGGACAGTTCGATCGTCCTATGCAAAGATGCCAGCGAGTTTCCCAGAGTATAAATTAAACGTGGATTAGTTTATAATCCTAGTAGGCTTGCGCAGCATCTTTCGACATCTTTCGGCTTCATCAACTCGGACTTAGCGGCAAAACAGAGTCGTTTTCGGCCGCAGTGGCTGACGAAGGCAAATAGCCTGTCTAGACGCACCAAATACCGGGTGTATATGAAAATTGCTTGAGGTTACCACGGAGACCGCGTTGAGAATATGTCGTTGATTCTGACTCCCAGATCTCGAGCCGGTCAACTCCACATATTCACGATATCGACCACGAGGACCGATTCACACATTCAGTTGACAGTCTTCAAAGTCACGAATTTTGGCGCTTGGAGGTAACATACGCGTATAATTAAATAGATGTAGGAGTGTAATTCCCACCCCCTCCCCACAAAAGAGGGTTTTCAGCGGATCTACTCTAGAATTTATTACGGACCGACGTCGCGAATGTCAAGTCAGTCTGGTTCATATCTTCACTTTCCCTTCTGCAAGTGAGAGGCCATAAGCCAACAGTTATATCCTTCTGTACAAAACGTGCTCAGCCAAACAAAATTTTTCGGACGTCGAAGTTATCAAAAAGTGACCGGTTTCGATGTCTTTCGCTCTAGAAATAGATACGGTGACTAAATCGCACAAGAAACTGTATGTT